AGGGATTTGGGTTTCTGTGGGAGACACAGCAAGAGTGTGACCAGAAAGCAGTCACTATTCATTGCAGCCTCTACCCTGCAGATGGTGCTTCAGGCAGCGCTGCAGCACTGAGGGCACCAGCTCGGCTCCCTTGGTTCCGATGGAGGAAGAGACCGCGCGTTAGCTGGTGTTCTTTCACTGGTGCATCCCCCTGCTACACTCTTATCTGTAAGCGTAAAAGCGTTCTTTGCTGTCTTCAGCCTCAATGGTTGGGTTGGGGAGGGGGGGTGTGTGTGAGGAATGCAGTTCCCTTTGCAAACATTTCCACAAACTCCACTGTGAAAATTCAGCAAATGGACCAACCCCAAAACCTAAGCCTATAATGGATTTACAGCTTTGAACTTGTCTGAGGTGTTAGTGTTGTGTGACCTAAGTAACAAGAAACTCCGAGTACAACTTAAATAGCAACATTATAACAAAGAAGTTGAACCATCTCTGTTACTAGTTCTAAGGTAGTGTCTTGGTTAGAACCTTTAAAGCTCTTTAGTTGAGGTTTCTTTCTAGTTAAAAAAAAAAAAAATCATGCCTTCAGACATGAAAAGCAAAGGGATTTAACTCCTGTGAAAGGAGAAAGGGAGGTTTTATACAAACAGTAACTAGATGCTTGTGGTCAAGTGACTTCACACCTCCAAGAGACTTTATTTCTAGATGTTCAGAGTGTACACTTGTAGGCTTTACCAAGAAAATACAACAGGTTGCTAAAATATGACTGTCACAGAAAAAAAAACACCCAAGTAAATTTTGTAACCAGACTCGAAAATATTTGATTTGTTCATGAAATTTTGCAGAGAGGTTGCAGTGCTAGACTCGGACCTCAATGAAACATTAACACAGCTGCCTTGTGGTACAGGAAAAAAATACACAAAAGTACAAGAATGCCCAAAGGGAAAGGGTGAGGAACACTTTGTTGTTTTTTTTGTTTTTAAGTTTTCAGGTAAATAACTCTTCACCTGCATTTGAACCAAACTTGGCACACCTGTGCCATCAAAAGCAAGCTGAGAACCTGATCTGTAAACATTCACCTTTAACCATAAATTAAGGAAGGATTTTCCAGTAACATTCAAACTTAAATATGGAAACTAAATAAAAAAATAATCCTTCAAGGCCAGTTACATTATTACTAGTGTTAAGTAGGAAAAGGTGTGAATAGCCAAATCCAGAGCCCCACTTGCATCATTCCTTTCATGCTGGAGCAAGTCAACACAGAACAGCGAGGGCAGAGCCCTTGCCTACAGCCTACACTTCAGTCTCCCAACATTAAAATGGGAGAGAACCAAGACTGTAGGAAGGACTCCGAGGCCACAGGATTTCACCACAAACAATGCTCGGAGCTTAATAAATGGACTTCAGCATCACTTAAGTACTGAGTGGCTGAACTGGTGAGTTACATTTCATAAAAATCTATTCAGCTTTGTCCTAAAAAATAAAACCAACCCCCAAGCAGAGCAAGGAAGACCATTATATTCAAAGCACTAGGTCTTGATCAATATTTTTAACTATTCTACACAACAATGCATGTATTTCCTGGAGGAAAAAAAAAACAAACACCACCACACCACAACCTTTTATTGTAGATAAAACAATTCTCAGAGAGACCCAAAGCATGAGTAAGATTTAACTTTCCTTGACCTTTACAATGAAGGCAGTAAAATCAAAATGATTTTGCAGGAAGAAAAACACAAAAGTTAGAAATAGCTTAGAACTAAGAAATTTAAAGTGAAACAAGATCAGAAGCAGAGTGCCAAACTGCTTTTACATGCTGTGGCTGAAGGGCAGAAAATTTAAACCTTAGCCAAGGAAAAGTAGATGTAGCTCAGTCAAGATACAGACAAATGCAAGCATGCGAAAGGATAATTCTGTAGTCCTGAGTGGAAATTCATGCTCAGATCAAGTAACAACATGTTACTGTTTAAAAATAATTTCCTGCCACAATAAGGCATTTTTGGGAAGCGGTGTACAAATGAGGCAGAAGTGTCAAAACAAATGACTACTCAAACTAGTTTAACACTAAGTCTAGCCTGGGAAAACAAGTTGTATATTAAACTGGAAATGTATTCTTTCTAAAGATGATGAGAAATACTCCCTTCAAGTCCCTTATGTTGCTTAAACAAAATTTAACACATTGTCAGTATCAACCTGCTTGTCATTTTAACTCATACTGAATTTTGACCAAGTGATTGACGCAAGTGGTATGTAAGGATGAACACCTCCATAAAATTATATTAATTGCACTGAAGTTTTGCTGGATCTGATGTTATTCTAAATGATTCTTTGTTACAGGTCAACTTTTTATAAACATGAAAGCTCTAGTCTGATTTAAAGCACTTTTTTTTTAGGTTGTCAGCTTTAAATCACTAGTGACTGCACGTAGGATGAATGAGGTTAATTTAGATCCACTTGACATCAAAACACAAGATTAAGTCTGTGGAGTTTTGTATTGCTCACAGTTACCTTTAAGTTGCTTCAAAGCAAAACTCCTCCTTTACCCATCTTGCTGTTCAACCAACCCTGAAAGTAAAAATCTTAGCAGTTCTTTTGAAATTATTTTAAAAAAACCCAACGAAACTTTCTGTAACTTCACTGTGATTAAACTTCACTGCACATCCTACAGCAAGGGAAAGGAAAAGCTGTGCTGGGGCCTGTGCCAAACTACCCTTCTTTCTTTAGTAGGAAGCTTCTACTTAAAACAGATACAGGCATGATAAAGAGCTGATGATACAGCTGTGCCAGATGTGGCAATACTAACAGCCGTTACAAGCCAAGAGCAGACTAACTCAGCACAAGTGTTAAGAACCTCCAGCCACAACTTTGTACAGGAGCAGCTCTAACACAGGGTATGTGTATTTTTAATGTGGAAGTCTGAGGGAAAAAAAATACTTAATCGAGTGGTCTTATCTGATAGCTGGGTAAAGCCTCTTTCCCTGCTCCACAGCTGTGCACCTTGGCGCCATGATGAGGTGTAACAGCTGGCACAAAAGCTGTGAAAGGCACCCTGTAAATGTAGCGTAAAACCTTTTATAGGGAGAATCAGTTAGGAAAAAAAAAACCACCTTGTGAAGCATCCAGATAAGTAACAGTGCTTAAGTTCTCCTAGCTCCTGTCCTGCACAGGAAAGCGCCTCCTTACCCCATGGTGGCTTCTGCTGTCTGCCCAGGCAGACGCCGCTGTTTGAGGCTGGTCACGGCCCCAGAGGCAGCATCTGGCCATGTGGGATGAGGAGCAAAGGCTGACGCCAGTACAAGAACCTGCACCTGTAACCTCCCTCCTGGGAAGAAACGGCTCCAGCACTGTTACTGCTTTAGTCATAGAAATGTTCTATCCCAAGCCTGGAGATGCAAGGAAGAGCCTGCCTTCTAGGCCACGCCAATTACACATGATTCAATGGAGGATTGTTATTTATTTGTTTCATTTACATCAATATAAATCTTTTTTCAGTCAGATAGTAATAAAAAGGAAGTAGTCCCTGGAATTTCAGAGTTTACAGTTCAACGGAATGTATATCTACAAATCTGTTACTATAGACTTATCACAGGTGCAATCTGCAAACAGAGGTACAGATGTAAGCCATAAAGCTGCATGTCAGGAATTTAATAGTGCCACCATTACAAATTTAGCAGAACAGATGGTGAAATTTCTACAATATGTTGAGTGATACCCATGTACAGATCTCCAGCGTTCTTGTCCTATTAGTGCCACGAGACATACTCCTTTTACTGTACATTACACCATTTCCTAAAATGCTTCTCCTTTATTTACACCACTTATTTTTTTCCACCATAGCTGCACTGGCATAGGTTTATTGTCTTAAATACAGCTTACCTGAGTAAGTCTTCAAGATTCTTCAAAAGCTGGGACTTGAAAGGCAAAACACCACCAGGAGGACAAGGAACAGTATTAACAGCAGTGGAGGGTTCACATCCAAGACTTCCTCCCCTTAGTTTGTATTCCACCACATTCCAGCTCTGCTCAGCAGCTTCTACACACAGTCTGACAGCACGTGTGGTATTGTACATGCTTTATTAAAATGGTACTCATATTTACAATATCTGCAGAAACAATCCCTCCCAAGTCTTGCATTCAGACAAACACGCACACATACACACGCGCGCAGGCCCCTCCACTCTACAGGGGTGTGAAGGCTATGCTCCCAAAAGTTAGGCAGCTTCTGGAAGAGGAGGAAGGGTGAATTTTTTTTTGTGTGTTTGTAATTACTTAAAAAGAAGCATGGGAATATGTGTTTGGCCATCACAATGCTAATTTAAGTATATGGAGTATTAACATATGGCAGTAACACTGAGTATTCCTCTTTTACATTCTATACACAGAATGACATCAAGGTTTTCCAGTCAACAGAACATTCTAACTTCAGTCTCAATGCTGCTTGTAGTGACCATGAAACCGCAATTTTGGGGCTGTCCCTTAAAACAATTCAAGTCTATGTAAGCGAAATAAGGCACAATTAATATTTGATTTGATTTAGAGGATGGGAAAAGGGGGGGGAGAGGCAGGCTTCAGATAACAGTTGTTGCAGAGGAAACAGTTTTACCCAATCCTTTTGAGAAAAGGATGAATTTTACCCCCATCCTAATCTACATGGACTTCTCTTAGAGAACTGAAGTATTCTGCCAGGGTTCCTAACACCAACATACAAAACAAAATTGGAAATTCACATTTTAACACCAGCTTCAGTGGTCTAACCTACCGATACTGATGTACATGAGTACATCTTTCTTTAATGCTGAAGGAAAAGACACACATGAAACAAGATTCAAACCTTCCACTGAGCTTGAAGACTCATGTCTTTTAGAGAGCTTGTAATATATACTAGTTGAAGGCTTCAGCTTACTGATAAAAAGGAATAGCATTTTTGCCTTTAAATCCCTGGCCCCTCTTCACTAACGAACCCTAACCAGACATTACAAATAAACTGCAACAAAAAGTTTGGCAGCACAAATAATGTCTATTATTTTCCTTGTACAAAACCTGTTGAATGTTTTTCGCAGCGGATGAACTGTACCCAAAGATGCAGGACATTCTGTGATGGGGAATAAGAGGTTGCAGTTCCGAAGGCCCCTGACTTTGGTTGTTTACAAAGTTCATTCCTGTTTAGTGTGATCCTTGGTATCTTCCTCATCTGTGTATTCTGATGGTTCCTCCCCTGGTTTTAGGAGTCTACCTACGTAGTCATATTTTTCTGAAAAAGATTTATGATTCCGTTACAATCAGATACAGCTGCATTTGCTAGTTAGCCTGCACTGCTGCAAATTCACTTTTTCTCCCACACACTAAGGTTCTGAACCTGAATCATGGATGTTGATGGCAATTTGTCAGCAAGCTTGGCCTCCTACAACAGTCTTGCTACCGCTGCTGCTCACGTCTTTCTCTACTCTGAATACTTTGTTTCAAATCTCCCACAACTCAAGCTTTATGGCTGAAAACACTGCTATTCAAACCAGCACAAATTCCTTCACCCTGTTTTGATTTCAATTAATGTAAAAAAGAACTCCCCCTCCCTCCAGAGGCATACTTCCAAACTTTTGAGAAATTATTTCAAGACAAACTTGTTCAACCCTTCATTGCCAAAACAACTCTTTGGATGCTGTGGGATTACAATTAGGACCAAAGCCAGCAACCTCTGAGCAGGAATTCCATCAGCTAAGCTACACTCTGATACCAGAGTAAAATTCTGCACCAAAGAGCTGGGAAGGGAACAGCTTTCTTGTATAAAACTAAGAGGTTGAGAAAGCTGGAGTGGGATATAGTGGAATCCTCTTTATGGAAGAAAGGCCTGGTCTTTTCCCAAGAAAGTCACACTGCATTATTAATGTTACTGGCAACGTCTTTTTAAAAGCTGCTCCAAGCCCAAAGCAGTCATTTTTATTCAAAGCATTTCCTTAAGCTAAAGATGTGCTGCTGATTTGAGAATTTACCTTTAAATTGCATTTCCCACTCTCTTACACTTTCCATCTGTACAGCATTTAAGTCCGATAGGTCATCGTATTCATCTCTGAGTGCATCTTTATCTAGACAGAAAGTTGCTAGTCCCCTGGAGGCATCTCTGCCAGCAAATATTCCATATGGACCCTCTGAAAACAAAAAGACAAAATCGATACCTTCAAGTCTTTGTTTATGGTGACCAATCTCAGTTCTTTATACAGGCTGCCGAAGCCATACATTAAACTTCTGCAGTGATGGGAACAGCAGCAGTTTCAACGCCATGGATGTTCAACATTCAACAGCACTGCAACTCAATCTGAAGTACTGCTAGGAGATAAAAGTCTGCCCAGAGAAGCAGAACCAGAAAAATAGCTTTGAAGGGATATCTGGAAAAATCCCTGCCATTTGATGCAAGTCAGCTGATGTAAACTCCAAAGGGGCTGGAGGCTGGAATTCAAAAGAAACGCACTTCTATTAAGCAAAACATAGAATATTTACAAGTCAGACACAAATAAAAGCAAACTGTACAGATATCTTAATTAGCAATCCATTGCATTTAATTAATAAATAGAACTTATGAATGCTAATGAGTAATTTCACTTCACTTACAGAACCACCACAACTTTCTACATACTTGACAGTGCGTCTTTTGACACATTCTGTGGAAATAACCTCATTTATTTTGGGCAGCAGATCACCCATACACCTATCCTGTATTGTTCTTGATAACGGCACAAATCTTCATGCTAAAAACGTAAAGCTTCTTCTGTGCTTTTTGACTGATGCAAAGCAGCACAAATGTGATAGTAAAATTTTAAGCAATGACTGTCAAATATTATTACAAAGAGAACCGGATGATTTGCAAACCAACAACTTTCAGAACGAGGTTGGTAACTGGCCTTCCCAAATTTTAATTAATCTAAAGAACTTGAAAGACAATGTTATCTTCAATTTTCTTGACCTAAAAACAAATACTTTAATTCGGCTCAATTAAAACAAAACAAAACAACACAACACTTTAAAGTTTTCTGCACTAACTGCAGCTGCTAAGCAACAGGGAAATGCCCAAGGCATTCTAAAGAGTGCTCCCTATGAAGACAAATAGGCCAGAACCCTTCTCTGGCTTACCTCTCAGAGGACGACAGTGGCCATCAGCCTGAAGAAAAGGCAGCACCCATGGGCAAAAATGAACACAAGCAAGTGGCAACACACCGTCTTTCACCCCCTCTATTGCCTGCTGCAGCACCTCAGACCTCTTCTGCACCAGGACGAGTCACAGGAAATCATTCAGAGAGGCTGGTTTCCTCGCAGGCCACTTGCTCCAGCCACCACACCTATCTGCTCTTGCCGGGCATTGACTTCAGGGTTGAGCCAGAGGCTGAATACAGCAGGAAGAACTCCTGAGGCAGGGAACCTCAGTACCGTATGGAGTAGAAGAAACTACGTCCTCACCAGAACTGGTGCCATCTCTCCACCCCAGAGTGCTTGGCATGGTAAGTTGCTTACAGCCAAACCTGAGAACAGAAGGGTGTCTTGTATGCCAAAGACAATTCCCTTGTCTCTCTGGAAATAAACCAACTGATTTAAAAGCAAAATTTCACAAGAAGTAGACATCAGAGAAAGAACTATCAACTGGAAGCTTGCGCTGTACAAATCTGGCCTTAAGAGACAACCATGATGATGAACAGCATGTCCTTCCAGATACTGTGCTCCGGGAACAGCATTCTCAATAACCGCCTCTGGGACCAGGGGCTACATTTATGCTACTTAACAGAAACAAAATCAAGAGAGCTTGTGAACTCTTTATCTTTCCTACTTGCATCCTGATTTAGATGTTTATTTGAAAAACAGGATTCAGAGGCTGAAATCAATCCTATACCAAGCTATTTGATCCATGTGTTTTGCATGCCCAGTCGCTTCCCATTAAACAGGTAGCGATGGCCGTCATTTGCAATGTAACATAGAGCTTCTTCAACCAGAAAGTCTTGCTTCGCTCCAACACAGCCATCATTCAACTGATCTAGATTTTGATGTTCTGAGTGAAGCACACAGAAGCTATAAACAGCTCTTACAAAGACTACACACCATCAGTAAATCCTTAAGAGCAATTATAAATTGCTACCTAACCTCCCCACCAATAGTATTCTGTCCTCAGTTTTTCCTTCCTCTGAAGTGTTTAAAACAAGTATTTTCATGAACACTGCTAGCTATTTGCATAACGCGTTTTCAAAATTCTGGCTGACCAGAGTGAGAGAAGCACACTGTTGCCCTTCCCTTCTACCCTGCAGGTAATGGTTTACAGAGTTTTACAGCACTTGCTGAGATTCCATCTCTTTGTCCACCAGCTTGATCTCAATTATTTCTATTAAAAAGAGAATTACATTATATTTATCAGTATACCCTTAACTCTCAATAATATATAGGCTCTAAAAGCATTCGTGCTTTCAACTATCAGTTTGCATTAACTGATACAAAATTTCTGCAAATATACTGTAATGTCAGATGCTACTATACCAATATTTTTTTGTCTCTTTTAAAACTGAATCTATATGTTAACATTCCAGCACATTTACCACAGAAGTATTCAGGAGTCACAGAGAAACCATCAAGTCAGGTCGAAGCACTCAACAGAATGCTAACTGGTTAAAAACAGCCTTTGGACTTGGTAGACAGCATCTCAAATTCCAGCTCTGCAAATGTAACTTAGAAATGTGTCCCATCCTTCAATCCTTTACTAAAAGGCAAATATTGAATTATGATTTTTTTTTAAAAAAAAAAAAGCGCAAGCCTAGCTTTACTGTAGTTGCAGGGTTGCTAAAGCCGAAGTTCAGAGATCTCAGTATGAGCAATCAATTTAAAGATTTAAAGCTTCTATTCAGATACTTTTACACAGAGATTAAGTACAGTATTTTATATTAATATAGAACCTAGGTCTGGGGGGTTGCTATAAGCCCAGGTCTATTATTCACTGGTACAAGTCTTAAAAAGGTATTGTGCGTATCAGATTTTGTTGCACTTGGAGCATCATCTGGGAAGGTGGTAACATGGAGAACCCTGGGGAGAAAAATATGCGTCAAGAACAGGATTCTGAGGTAGAGACATTAGTGCAATCCTAGACATACTCCCACAGAGCTCTTTCATGACCAGATGCAATTTACTCTACAAGCCCTACCCACAGTCCTTCTTTTCTTTCCCTTTGTCTGCCTACCTATTTAGACTGGCTCCTGTTCTAAATAATTGATTGCCCCATGACATGATATACATACTGCAGAGATTGCAAAAGGAGATGCCATTAGGATAAGCATGTATGCCAAACTGATTTTCTGAGACCCTATCACAAAATTTTAGCCTTTTTCTTTTTGCTGTATCCCCAAATTAGTTATTTTGTGGTCAAGTGTTTCCTTAAAAAGTTCTCCTCCCACTCCTATTTGGCATCTTGAAAAACCAAAAGGAAAGCCAGTGAGGTATCAAACCCCATTAAAACACGTAGCTACCAGCCTTACATGAAGGAAAATTTGTTCCTGGAAGAATGCTTCTCATCATTGCTTTCACATAGTAAAGCACTTTTGTTTCAGAGCCTTTGTTTATTTTAGCCCTGAGACCAGTTATCAAGACCATGAATTTGCTTACGTATCTCCGTATCTTCACCCACCACATTTATGCACTGCCTTTTTCCCCCTGTATAAAGCCCTCATCTACCTTTCAACTCTACCCTGTATAAAGTATGCCCTTCTAAGCTACCTTGCTACCCACCACCTGTAGATGCTCACTTTCTTTCAGAATTCAGATAAAAATCTGGCCGTCTTGATGAATCTGACATCTTGTGTCAGCCTGACATTCATCTTTATTCACAAATGAACTGGGTAGCTTGAGAATCGGCAAAACCAAAGTCTCTTCAGCCCGTAAAAATACCTTTCCAATTCCTGCATCTCCTAGCCCTGTTCTGGTTCTCAAATGAAGATTTCACTTTGCAGACACCTTACAACAGGAGACAAGGAAAAATAACATTACAGCACTGTATTTAAAAGTTTGAGATATGAAGCTGTTCAAGCTGAAGTTTTTATTTGGAGGCGCTGCTTCCAGTCATTTGCTCCAGAACAGGCTAAACTGGATCTTGGAACAGCACGTGTTTCAATTTTCAACCGGTTTGGCCAATGGTTCCCCCAGCAAAACCTATGCCTGAGTTCAACTTTTGAGCAGATGCTCCCGGTTTACCACAGCAGCTATCTGACCAGTTCTGCAGTAGCTTTGCAGAACACCCCAGACCGTTGCTCCAAGACTAGTAACAAAGGTGACCGCTGTACACTGAACTTTGGATTGCTCCAACTGTCACCACAGAGAGCCAGCGCACGTGGCCTTTATATCTAATGGGCTGATTTGTAACTGCACGGGTTAATAAGGTTCAGTTTCAAACCAGCTTTGGTTTCTTCAGGTAGGCAGAAAGCACTTTCAAGCAATCACCAAATATGCAAAGTATACCCAATGCTCTGTGCATCTGCGGGGTCCATGCAGCCACTGGAAACAAAACCCAGTTTTGTTTGATGCTCAGAAATTCATGGACAACATTTCTTAAACTGCAGACAAGAATAAAGACTAATCTCTCCTTTAATGTAAGTTAAAGGAACAACGGGAGACAGATCACAAAATTACTGACAGCTGCACTATTCTACCACTTTACCTTTTGCATGCAATCCAAATCAAAACAAAATCTTCACTGTCTAAAATTTTTCATCTGAATCCTGACACGTGTTTGTTCAGCGTTGCATCTTTTATGTGTGAATGGAAAAGTTACAAATCAGACAAAGCCGTTTTGAGATGCAACTTGAAAGCAGCAGCTTTCTAATAACGTTTACGACTGGGAATTCAAGGTGACATAGTTTTTACATTACTGCTCCAGATTTACATGAAAGGAAAGATGTGGGTCAATTTTAAGTTACAATTTTTGTGGAAAGTAAGCGTTCTTAGGAAAGAAACCCACAGTCTACAGGCTAAGATGGAAACTGCTTAGAAACAAGGGTCTAAACCTGACTTCTTCGGCACAAGACCAGAGGGCCTCTCTTGCTTGCTTCCTTTTCTACTCTGGGAAAAAAAGTGCAAGAATCAGTGACCCAATTTCAACTACACAGGCAGGTTAGGAGAGCCTGTAGCTCTGTAGTCAGAAGATTCCTGGAAAACAGCTCCATACTTGAGGAGGACCTAGATCCCGCATCTTGATTTAGTGGGAAATGCTCTGGCCACTAGTTTATTTCATAATAAAGGAAGCAATGCTGGCCAGCTCTTTGGATTAAATGAAAGAGAGCTACAGTGCTGTGTTCTGGATTTAACATCTATATGTCCTTAACAATGATGTCACTATCACATCCTAATATATCTTGATTTGAGCATACCTGCTTGATCAGGCCCCTAAAACTGCAGGTGACTGGAACCCGAATGGCTTAAATAGGAACTAGGGATTTACACAAACCTTTTATCAAACACACAATTATTCAAGTTTTAAGGAATATATTCAAGTTATTAAAAAAGGAAAAAAAGAAAAAGAGAGAGCTGACAGACACACAAAGCAGAAGTAGAGGAGGACAGAGTGATGCATCTTCCTACATAAAACTGCTTTACTGACCCCTGCTCTCTGTGAACGTGGACTGAGGGTTTAGAACAACCCCTTCATCCTGGTGACAAGGGTGCTACTCCCTTTCGTCAGAAGTACAGAAACCACCTCTTGCCAATATGCACACATACACCCTTTTAGTTTTACTACTACCGCTAGGAACTTAGCTGCTTTATCCAGAAACACTGTTTATTTGAAAAGCTGAGTCCCATCACCAGAGGCACCTCCATTATGCAGACAGCAAAAAGCTGACAAACATGAACACAGAGAAGACACACACCTTACAGGAAGCACCTCCTTCCCCCCAGTCTCATCCTCTGTACTTATCCATAAACCCCTGGCCCGTTGTGTTGTTAAGATAAGGCCACCTTTAACATAATTCTCCAGACACAACATATAGGATGTCCTGCCTGCAACATTTCCCTCTAACCATACCCTTGTAAAGGATGTACTGAAAAGCATCAGTGCCATCTTTTAGAGACACAATCAAGTTCACAGCACTCAATTCCAAAGGGAGTCTAACAGCATCAGATTGGTTTTACACAAATGAAGGGAAAAAAATGACAGATGTTTACTACAGAATTGTTCAAAGTATTTAACATCAGACATCACAGTTCTTAACTGGATTTGCAACATGAAATAAAGGTAATTTTCCCCTCATGAAAAATGAACTATGATGGAAATTTCTGTGCAAATTACTTACTACCTAATCTATTCCTCTTGGCAAATCCAAAAGCAGAAATCTTCATGACACTTTGAAAGACAAGAGTGGAATGAGAAATGAGTTGACAGTGACAATGTATTGCAGCAAAGGAAAGTCAGGAAATTGATTTTTTAAAAATCATGAAACATTAAGAACCAAGAAGTGACGTGGAACCGCTGCATACACTCGATTGCATATAATCTTGCTTTGTCATGCTCAAAGCCATATATTTTTCATATCTGTTTACAGCATTAGCTTGGCATGCCAATTTAAAGGCTAAATATTAAGGTTTGCTAACAGTACTTTTAACTCTTACTATCTCCTTCTATTGGCCAATATACTACCAGAAATCTTGACACAAACAAACATGAAATTAAATGTTGTGATAAATGAACCAGTAAAAACTGTCTCTCATTATAGGGATATAAACCAAACACAGCACACACTGAAGGTATTAATCATCAGATTCTAAGTCATGAGATGTGACTACAGATGGGGAAATCACCCCAAAACAGCTACTGTGAGATCCTGGTTACGTGATATTTTTAATAGTGAGCCACTAATTGTTTGCTTTATTTCTTTTAGAGTTTGTGGTGATAAAGGAAAAGGCAATTAATTAAAATTAATAACGAAGCAAAGCATGCTAGGAGTCTTACTCATTCGAGCACAGACAGAGGTGGTATTTAATACAAGTAAAAGTCCAGTGTTGAAGTAAAGGGTATACTCGCAGGAGAGAGGACTATCCCAGGAGGCAGCATTTTGGAAAAGAAATTGGTAAGTAAAGTTTTAAATTAAGAGTTCAGTGTAAGAAAAGTGATATTTAGAGGCACAGACAGTTAAAAGTGTGATATAACCTTTTCTTGCTCTTAGTTAAAATGCAGTAGACATTTCAAAGACTAAATTGTGGCAGGCTTAAAGAAGACAACATGAGAAAACCAAAAAAATTTGGAAAACATTTTGATTAAATGTTCAGGAAACTAAAGTTTTCAATCATGGCTCTTTGAAAGGATGACTTCAACAAACATAGCAATTTTTTAAAATATCTTAACTGTATGTATGTAAAGGTCTCTTCAATAAAACAGACCAAAGTATAACAGGATTCAGTGGATACGAACTTAAAAACAGGAGAGCTTCTAATAAAGTCATAAGCTTGGTGGGAATTTTAATGGAATCTCAACTGCTAGACAAAACTCTAGACTAGATGACAATTCTATGCATTTTTAGCTTTCTGCTCCATGTAAAAAACTAAGTAACACCTCTGCATCCAAACTACACTAAAAAAAAAAAAGAACAAACCTTAATATCAAAACATCAGAAGCCTTCTGAGACAGCCACATTATTCAATGTTAACCCAGTGGTCAAAACATACTTAAGATTTGATAGTGAGCCCTCAGACAATGCTTTTTGCTGCCTTCAAAGCAAACCATTACAATTTCACATCAGTACCTCAACGTAAAAAAGGCTCACAGCCCAAGCCTGAAATGTCAGCAAAGCCAGTGCTTTCAACTGTTTCTTCTGTTAAACAAAACTTGGCAACAGCTTTGTTGGTATGCTTTGCACTTTTGCTATTCTCCAGCTACATGGCATAAAAATACCAAGAGAGCTGCTGTGATCATCTGGCTACTCTGACTGAAGTCCTTCTGAAAAGGTCTCAACCAGCTGTAGAAGACTTTAACCTAACTTCTCTCAGATCTTTTAAGGCCTGCAAACCACCTACTAGCTTTTTTTCCTTTTCAGCCACCAAACAGTTGCAAGAAAATATTCCCAGACATGCACTTGTACAGGGAAACCACATCAGCACAATTCAAAAAATCAACACCTTTGTCAGAAAATATTCAGCTGGTGATGCACAGGTTGAGCAATCGCTATCCTCATGTACATGGCCCCAAGTGAGAGAGATCTGATAGACAAAGATGTTAGTTAGTTCTGTTATAAAAAGGCAATCTTTCACTACAGGCAGGGAAAAAAAAAAAAAGCACTTTTGCCCCTCTCCACAAAAAGCTGGAAGCACTGCTTTAGGGAAACCAGCTGCTGCCAGCTATCAAAAAAGCAGAGTGATGTCCTAGAACATAAACCTTTAGCTTCCTCACAATAACAGAGCTCCAGAGGTTGATGATGTGAACCAGTGATATCTGAGAGAGTTTCAGAGAGTTGGGGTTGTTCAGCCTGGAGAAGGTTCTAGGGAGACCTTACAGCCGCCTCCCAGTACTTAAAGGGGCTACAGGAAAGCTGGGGACTCTTTTATCAGGGGGTGTAGGGACAGGATGAGGGGTAACGGTTTTAAACTTAAAGAGGGTAGATTTAGATGAGATATAATGAAGAAATTCTTTCCTGTGAGGGTGGTGAGGCACTGCCATGGGTTGCCCAGAGAGGTTGTGGCTGCCCCCTCCCTGGCAGTGTTCCAGGCCAGGTTGGACGGGGCTTTGAGCAACCTGGTCTGGTGGAAGGTGTCCCTGCCCATGGCAGGGGGGTTGGAACTAGATGATCTTTAAGGTCCCTTCTAACCCAAACCAGTCTATGATTCTATGATCTACAGTGGAGAATCTACTTATGTTTGATACACAAAAGAGTTAAAGCAAATGTTTAGATTATGGTTCAGTATTACCTCATGGAGTAATTTATGAAGCAATCTGTCAACTGACTGGTGTTTTAAGTTTCATGTAGCATATGATATCAGCACATAGGTCTCAGTTTAAAAACCCTTAAAGTGAGACAAAATAACTAGTCCAATTAAGCATCATGAAATCTGCAGCACACCAAACTGGATTGTCTCAGCTTTACTGGTCAGTAAACAAAATAACGTATGGCAAGATAGTTTAGATTCCATCGTTAACTTTTACAGTACCCAGTCAGAAAAGCATTTTGAGTAAATTATGGCAGTTTCAATTTCTGCGACTGGTAGCAGAGCTGGCATCACAAACTTTGAGGGTAACGAGTTACAAAATATTCAGCCCAGTTGAACTGTGCAACTAACTGCTTGTCACTTCCCTGGTAAGAACCAAAGATCTGTAACATGCCAGTTCTGTATTTTTATTTTTGTAACCTAAGACTGTTAAAAAATAATAATAATGACTTAATTTTAACTATTTCCTTGGGGGGGGGGG